CGGGGCAGGGCGCGCCGCGGGGCGACGGGGGAGGCGCGCGGGGCCTCTGCTAACGGCGGGGAAAAACGGGGTGCCTGGGCAGGGGAAGAGCAGCGGCCCGGAAAGCGGCTCCCAAAACAATGTTGGGCAACCCCAAGTGCCCCTTCTGACGTGATCTCCCCTGTTCGCAGAGGCCAACGGCACACTACAGGAAACAAACAAACAAGCAAACAAAAACAACAAAAAACGAAAATAATGAAACAAAAAAGATTTTTCCTCCTTTTTAATTAGTTTTTATTTTGGTTTTATTCCTCTTTTTAACTGACGTCGGCCTGCAGGATTTTACGTGTGTGCGCAGGTCCGCGCCTCCGAGTGTATGCAGATGAAATGCGGTACATGTGTGTATGTATGTATACGTATATGTATATATATGTGTATGTATATATATGTGTGTATGTATATATATGTGTGTGTGTGCATATATATATATCCTGCCCGGATGTGTGAGTGCGTCCGGAGAAGGCAGCCCCCGCTGCCGCGCAAAGGGCCGTCGAGGCCCCGCGCCCCTTCCACTCGCGGCTATTCTGTTCTGTAAATTCGTTTTACGGCCCCTCATTCTGGTGCCCAGGACGGATGTGCAGTAAAATGGAGTCGCGCTCTAATCGCGCGATTGGCCGCTCGCTGAGCAAAGTTTATTGATAGCTGCGGGGCTCTAATCTCCGAGAAACACAGGAGGCTCCTGCCCTCATTTAGGGATAATTATCGAAACGGGGCAGGGCCGCGCATTCCCTTCCCTTTTAAGTGACCCCTATAAAGATGGGAGATAAGAAGCGTATAGATTATGAAACGAATTGATATGGCAGACATTTTATTAACTGATAAGGAACGGGATGGGATTGGAATGAATTATCCCACAGGAATTATCCTGCAAGCAGCTCTGCCCAAACACGTACATGCTGCCCGTCTAGGCTCTACAGTCGCAGTCCTCTATAAGGACGGCAGCAGTCCGCTATAAGGACGAATCTCCCACGCACACTTGGGGCTTTGCGCGGCCCCGATATCTAGTTGTCTTGCAGGGGACTCCGTGAAAAAAAAAAAAAAAAAAAAAAAAAAAGACACGACCGTGCCGAGCATGCACTTATTACCCAAATACAGCGCAAGTGCATAGCACTATATACCTTGATTTCCCCTTCCAATTGCCGATGACTTCTGAAGGCTCCTGCCAGGGGGGTGCCCAGCCAGGGGGGCGCCCCCCGGTCCGGAGCTGCGGCGGAGCCCGAACCTCGGGGGCTGCCGCGCCCCGTCGGGCCGGGGGGCCGGGCCGGGGGCGGGCCGGGGGGGCTCCCGCAGCAGCGGCTGCATCGCTAATTGCGAGAATAAACAATCTGTCACGATTAGTCAGTGCCTCTAATAGGCAGACAAGTGATGTTGTTTTTAGGCGCCAGCAGCGGTCTGATCAAAGGCTTGGGCTGGAGGGGGACTATTGAGGACGTTAACCCGCATCAAGGGAGCAAGGCGCCTTAGCCCTGGGACATCGGCACATTGAGCCCGACAAAATTAGTTTGCTCTACCAATCACACGACATTTTCCCAAAGCCCGATGCTCGGCTCAAAGATGCGCTTTTTGTGTGTGTATTTTCCCCCCATCCCCCTGTCCCGATGAAGGAAACGCGCACACAAATAGCGATACGTTGGGTTTCACGTCGGGTTTCACTCTTTGCCCTGATCCTACAGGTAGGATCTTTATTATTTTTATTTCCTCATCCCAAATACAACCGTGGAAAAGAAAAAAAATGATGTGTTTATTGGACCTCTAGGCAACTCCGAGGCTGCTTTCGATCTCATTGTTCTGATAGAAATATGAAATAGAGCTGCTGTTTTCTCCTTTTCTTTCCCAGAGTGGTCTGAACACTGGGATGTTGCTGAGGATGGAAGAGATGAGTGTGTATCCCATACTGGGAGCGAGATCCCGCTTTCATTGAGAGTTGACAGAACGAGATAATTAGCTCTTTATTTATCTCTCAGCAATGGACGCTTTGTGTTTACGTTTCTGTCATACTTGGTGGTATTTTAATCAGTGTACCATAGCCAGGGCTTGATTTTAACTCTCATGCTGGCAAAGGCTCGGGCTGAGAACGGGGAGCCAGAGAAGTTTCTTTCTTTTCTTGTTTCCTCCTCTTTCCCCCCTTTATTTCTAAGTAAGTGAAACAGGGAAGCTCTCAGATAACAAGGAAGAAATCGAGTTTACAAAACGAAATCTCCTCCGAGATAACTCTCTTTGTTTAACGGGAGAATTTTTAGTATCAAAACTCTTCTTGCCTTGCTTACTGTGCTCCGAACGGCCGAAATACCCGCGGATTTTAGGATTTTTTTTTCTTTTACTTCGGTTATGTTCATATTATGACTCGCGTTCTTGTTTTCCTGCCTTCGCTGTAAGGGATACTGAAGTGAGGGGCTGGGGAGGAGAGAAGGAAGGTGGAAGTAGGTGACTTTATTGGTGCTTGTTCCAATCCAGTGTTTTTATTGGGAATAGTGGCGCTTCCCTCAAGGCACTTGTGCTAGATAACAATATTGGGCAATTAGCATCCTAAACAGTCCCGTTTCATGTAATGACTGTGCTAGGCAAAGTGATTACCCCTAGCATTTTATTTCAGAGGGAATCGAGCAAATGATGCGTGGGGGATGGGGGAGGGGGAGGGGGGGGAAGGAGGCAGCCCTAAGCTCATTCAGGGCATTGTCCATCTTTTGTAAATGTTATCTTTGAATTAATAAGAAAGAAGAGGTGTCGCTGATGTTGTTTTCCTTGTCCCTATTTTTTATTTCCCCTGAGACAGTAACTCCCGACTGCAAGAGATTGGAGCGCTCTGTAAAACACGGGGAGCCTCGGGGGATTCGGAAAGGCCCCCTCCGTGTCCTGACACGTAAAAGCTCCCCGTGGCCGGCTGGACAGCTCTGCGACGTCGCTTCAAACCCGAGGGTCGGCCCCGACGGCGCGGGAAGAGCTGCCTGCTGCGGGCACCGTCCCGCGGTCTTCATTCAGCAGCCCCTCGTGTCCTGTCTCCTCGCTCCTGTCTCCGAACATATAATAAAGCATAAAGACTTAATTTCTGTCCCGCTCTCTCCTTTTTTTTTTTTTTCTTTTTTCTTTTTTTTTCTTTTTCCTCCCACCTCTCTCTCTCTTTCGCTTTTCCTTCTCGCACAGATCAAAAGTAACCCGAAGTGTTTTTAAGGCTACCGCCACCTGGTTGGTTCCGCTGGGACGGCTGAGCGGGAATTTGGGTGCCCGCGCTCGAGCCGCCGAGGCGTCCGTGTCTCTTTAAGGCTCCGCGGAGCAGGGGCTGAAAGGAAAGCACTATTTCAAGTGGCCCAAATTAATTTGATCGCTACATTATGATGCACTTGGAAAAGATGAAAGAAAAGGCTGGCCGTCTCCTTCAAGATCTCTATAATTATAGATAATATATCCTATTTCAAAGCAATTAGCTCAATCAGGCGTAACGAGGCACTTTGCTGCCAGGCAGTAACGATGCCTTACGGTTATTTAAGCTTCAAGATGTCAAGCAGACTCCGAGACTCTTTGCTCTGCCCAAAAGACAACTTGGCTGTCCCGGGGAAAGCCCCGTGGCTAAGGCGGGAGGTTCCCCTTCAGAGACAACGCGCCGGTTTTTGCGGAGGTGCCACCGCGCCGGGCACGGGGACGCGGCGGCTTCTGCTCCCGGGACACCCGCCTCCCGGTGCCCGCTCAGCCCCGGCGCTCGGGGCTCCTCGAGCCTTCCCCGCTGTCCCGGGGCCGCTGCCCGTTACTGCTGTCCCGGCCTCGCTTCCCTCCAGCCCCGCGGCCGTGGAAGAGCCGCCCCGCCGGGCTCCTTCGAGCCTCCGCGTTTTACGCTGGTCACTTTTCATTGTATTTTATTTTGTTTTTATTTTTTTATTTTTTTACCTTCAAGAGCCTGCAGCCTACAACGGTCCCCAGAGCAGACGGAGCATCCCACCCTCGTCTGCACCTTCCCGTGCATGAGCAGCGAGCTGTCGGGTTTATTTATGTGCATACACGTGTGCGCAGGGACGTCTGCAATAGCATCTGGAGAGGGAAATAAAGCCCGAAGTGCCGAAAAACTCTCGGTCTTGCCCCAAACTGAAGGAAGGGTTGGCGGAGCGGGCTGTCCCTGCTGGTCTGAGGCACAGTGGGTGCGAGTTTGGACCGAAATGCTAAAAAGGGACGTTCACCTCCCCTACCCGCCTCTGACGCGCTGCAAGCGGGGCCCCTGGGGAGCCTATTTCAAGGGCGCTTTTCCTGCTCGGTGTCCTCCTTCGGGCTCGGTGCTGCACGGGAGCCGCTGCTGTCCCGCGCTGCGCGGCACCTCCGCACGCCGCGCTCCGCCGGGCCCGCGGCCTCCACCCCTGCGGCCCGGACCCGGCATCGTCCCGTCCCGCCGCCCCGAGAGCCGGCCCCGGCCCCGGAGAGACGTGCTCGGATGAAATGGTGCTGTAGGAAAACCGTACAATTAACCTGTCAGCTTTTTCTCGCATTTTTTCTTTTTAATTGCTAGGAAGGTAACAGAGGGAAAAAAAAAAAAAAAAGAAAAAAAAAAGAAAAGAAAAGAAAAAGAGAGAGAGAGAGAGAGAGAGAGAGAGAAAAGAAATCTCGCCCCATGGGTGAGTCGTTTGAACTGGGCAGTTCAAGGGAAACAGGAGGCCGGGGGCATGAATGCGAACTAACGAAG